ATATATATGTCAGTACATATCAGCGTTCCAGAAGTTTACATACACACGTTTCTGTTTTAAAACATGAACGACTAAATAATCAGTATAAAATCTGGCCAGGAAATGAACAGAAATAGGTCATTATATTATTTCAAAAATTATTTTCAGTTATTTTGATAAATCTAAAACCGTGTTTCCGGTTAAAAAGACCTTGCCCCAACTATATGGAATAAATTAATAATATCTTATTATACTTTGAATTTATATCAAATAAACTCTAATTTATATGGCGAAATCATTTTCTAATGTGCAGAATGTGATAGATATCGTTTTCTATTGTGTGATTGTATCATAAAAAATATAGAGAAATAAATAATATAAATATATAATAATATTTTTACTGGATTGATTTAAATTTCTTAATTTGATTCAATCCGGATCGTTAATTTGCAGCTTATGGTTTAGAATTAATATCAAATAAATCTTTAAAAAATCAATAACAGTAGAAAAAAATATAAAACTTATGTACGAGGTCAGAGGTGCGGATGGACGATCGGCGAAAGGATTGTATTCTCCCTCCTGGATCTGCGAATGAGCTTGGGTACCCTCCGCACTCTGCTTCATTGGGATGTGACAGATCTGTTGTCATTATAGATAGAGAATATAGATATATATATATACTACGAAATACATATCTTAAGGTGTAACAAGACCTCTTGAGTTGTCTCACTTGATCATATCACGCGTTACTTGGAATTCCGCAAGGTCCGCCGTCGTCGCTGGATCTCTACAATAATGCGAAGCATCCGGATCTCTCGCTCACTCGCGATGCTCTCGGCGAACTGATGAATGATAAATTATCTATTAACCTGTTTGCACGGCATTCAAAGTTATTAACACTTTTCCTAGTATAGAAAACCGTTTAACAGGGACAGTATCTAATTCCGTAGAAAACGCGCACACTTGATCGTCGAAAAAACGCGGTGGTTCAAAGTGCGATTGAAAGATAATATTATAATTGGTAAAATTAATTGGTAATCTCGAATTTGACATTTACATTCAAGGAATACGAAGTTTTCTCGATATCGATATAAAATCGCTTATATTCTCTGAAACTGAATAAAGAAGCTGAAGCTGAAGTACACTATACATGCCTGCAAGGAAATCCTACATGCTTGTTTTCTTGGTCAAGTTTCTGCGTGTGAATTTCAATCAGGAGTTTAAGCGTGCATAAAACTTGGGATCTTCTTAGAATTTTTAAGAAAATTATGCATTCTTCCGTAAAAAACGAAGCAGTCGTTGCATGACAATCAATGTATGCTCGCCGTTTAACGCGAGCGACAGTGCGATAATATTGTCGCATTGAGCTGTACTGTTATTATGGAATATAATTGTTGTTCCAACAATTACATAGTTGGACAAAGAATTACGCCTGTTGCATGCATAATTCTTTGTATATTGCATAATATTGCCTTGGCTTCTCTACCGTGTTAAACTTGGAATATTTTGCTACTGCCGTACTACACATGCAGCACAAATGTATTATTATAATGTATTTTTATTTAACTATATTCACAAGAGTTATGTACAAAGTCAGGAATGTAAAAAAGTCGCTGCTGCTCGAAATCAACAAAAAATTACATCGAATCAATGTTTTCCAAGTAATTAATTGTTGGAATGCAAATGTGCCGTTTCGCGCACGCGTTATCAGGAATTTTCAACTGCATCGACGCGTCGCGACGACAGGAAACGTATCACTTGTCACTTGTAATCACATAACTGAAAAAAATAAAATATAATAATAAAACAATAAAATATAGATAAAATGCAAGAATAAAATCTCAACAAATAAATTTTTTCATTATTGCACATTGGCAATTTTTCTCTATCAGAAGTAGTATCTGCTATGATTGATAACGTTCTAGATCGATCAATGAAAATGAGTTTTGACATAAATTTTGTATGATATTAAAATATATATGTATATAAACATTTTACGTTTATATATGTAATTAATCGTTTTAAAAATATATATATGCAATAAGATTAATCTCAAAATTATCGATATATTATACCATATCTAAAGCTGTCATATTTCACTGAAAGATTTCAGCGTATTCTCGTATATAAATATCAATTCAGATAATTAGTGATTATATCGCAAAAGATAAAATATTGCAACCGGTTTCTTAATTTCTTAATATGACGAAATATAATATGTGTCTTGCTGCAGAACTGTTCTTTTTTTAATTGTAATGATCGGTCAAACTCCTAAAAATAGCATGAGAATTAATAATTGAAGATTAATAAATAAATAAATATCTTTAGGTAATTTCATTTTATTAATAGGATCACATTATCGCAGATTCGTTATAGATAATTTATTTACATCGGAGCTATTTAAATAAATCGCGACGTCATCTATATACAAATGTGTCGGTGTGTGTATATATATCCGTAAAACAATAATTAATAATTCCTATAATGATAAGACATATATCTAGACACTAGATAAAATATAATACAGTGACAGCGTTTTGCTTAAATAACTATCGGGTCGGGAGGCTGCTGTACCGTTGCAGCCGATTTATACGCTCTTTCTCGATATTACGCTCGTTAATTAAAGGTATAAAAATAATAGCCTCCAGTCGGCAGCGCGTACACTGATGTGGGCACCAGAAAATCCACCGACTGTACGAATAACAATAATATCTGAGCATTCGCGGCGTTACGAACCCTCGTACGAAAAAAAGAAGATAATGAAAAAGAGCAAGATTCACCGAATGCGCATCGGTCTTTCTGTTCATTTCGCCGCGCGTAAAAACGATTAGGCGCTAATAAAATAATAAGTAGAGTCCGTCAGTCCTGTGGTTTACACCTTAAACTATATGTTAATCACATGTTTTGCAGTTTATTTATAACTAGGATCACAGGCTCCATCTGTGATTATATTATTCAGTGTTCACAATAATTGTCATTGTTAGTTATAAATAATTAAATCGGTTGTTTCTTGAGAAGCGAGGAACTGTGTAGTATATAGTGTTTCCCCGGAGTCGCGAGCTACACGAATTAAAATGCGATTCCGACGAATAGTTAATTTATAATTAACTCCGACGAGCCTCAACTTCCCTATGACGAGTAAAGATCAACATTGCTCACTCTTATCACTCTCGAGTATGGTATACATTTTGCGAACGAACAACGCAAATAAACAGCGAAATTAAATATAAACTTTCTTAACATACCGTGCAACATATGAGTGAATCGGACGGAACATAAATCGAACGTTCTGTAGGTATTCGATGTTCGTGCCCTCAATGTATATCCGTTAATTGTATCTCGTGGACGAGCGCGCGATAATTAATGTTTAAACGTGATATGTATTATATTCAAAAGAGAATGCGAACAGTGCACTCGATATATTTCCGAAGTCGATGAATTTCAGTATCACCCTCATTTTCTGAATTTCAATTTTAATGTAATCCGCTTACCCGTAGTATACACAAATAATGCTTTTCGTCAATTACAATCGTCATATATCCTTATTATTACAATATATGCAATAAATAAGAAGACAATTATAACACAGATTCAAATCGAAGATACAAATGCTAAATGGAATATAAAATTGCATCTTGAACATATGGAATGTGAACTATCGACTCTGGTATTCTCTGTTGCGAGTTAATAATCTGATTGGAACTTAGCACATACCTGAGTGCTAACGACACTTTTGCTAGACGCAATGAGAAATTTTCTGTTAAAGACCTAATAATATTCAATAATGTAAAAAATACACAAGACTAATGATATATAAGACACGTAGATACAAAATCAACAGAATTGCAGAGTACTGTTACTGAACAAGGACCAAGTAATTGAAAGTTTGATTAACAAACTCATTCTTGATGTTGGTTAAGTAAACCAAGTTCTTCATTTATACGGTATTAGAAAATATAATATCAAATAATATAAAAAAATATCAAAATGAATAGACACAAATGTTCGGCATTGCCTTTACTAATATATACAAAAAATTCTATAGATATTAAAAAAAATTTTTCTTGATTGATATGAATTAGTATACCTTTCAATATAAGTTAGGTATATGTTTCATATAGTTACGAGAAGTCTGGATACAATAAAAGTAATATGTATTTTTGTAGAATCTCGTTAAAAGATGTGAAATAATTTTTGATTATGTCTCTGCGTTTTTCTTTTGTGCTATAAATAAACGTGATATATTTATACAAATTCGAAATTTCGACTATATTTCTATATCGCCAGTGAAAACATAGCATAAATCTTTTCGCAATTATTATTATTAGCTATGTCAGTTCTATTCGTTACAAATTGATGCACATTCGCAAGACAAGTCAATATATTACTTTTGATTAGATAAGATTGCTAAAGTATTTTTGCCATATTACAAAGATGTATGAAATGCTTTCTAAATGCAACTTGAGAAAAGTATATAATAAATCCTGTAGTGAGAAATAGTATTGTATAATATATTTCAATTTAGAAACACACCGTTATGGATTTTTCTCGTTTAGAATTACTGTAAGATGTTTAAAAAAAAAAAAACCATTAACTTCGATATTAAAAAGGCACGGAATAAGGGTCATTAGGAATGCGAATGTCATTCTTTCAGCGTGTCGTATTTCCTAAATGAGTGTGCGCCTACATTCTATTATTTCTACATTCGCATATTCATCGGTGACATGATACGGATAAGACCGCATGTCTGCAGAGCCAGTTATCCAACATAACATAATAAAAAGAAGCCAGAACAACTTGCTCGCTACGCGACTCAACCCTATTTGTTCCATAAATCCGACGACGCAATGTCAACGATTACGCGGCACTTATTCCTCGCTTGAAATTGGATGACATTCGAGCGAATCGCATTCGGCCAGAGCTTCACCGCGTCGCAAAGGGAACTCGTCGGTTAACAGGCTCTCCGGTACCGTAGCCGCCGAGTTAATACTGTCGAAGTAATGATGAGGCCACGCGGCGCTTGTACGGAAGCGCCTGGTGGGTGAACCGATTATGAATTCCACCCGCGTGGAACCGGTGACGGACGATGTCTCTTGATTCAGGGAGTCTGGATAGAGCGATGAATCACTGTGCCGGAAACTGCTGTTGGTCGAGCACCAGGAACTTGGTGGTTCGGTGCAGTTCTGAAAAATATGCGTATTAATTAGTTTAGTCAGTTAGACGAATAAACCGCACCCTGCTGTTCTATTACAAGCGAGAAAATTCTCCCGCCAAGACTACAATCCGTGTCGTCTTGAAAGTGCATGTGATAAAAATAAATTTTATATTAATACCCAAGAATTTGGAACAGCCAGTAGAACAATCAATTTCTGTGTTTGTAGAAAATTATAGATATAAGATGATAAAAATCTGCAATTAATTGTAGATACCGATTATTGATATCACTGTCTGTTTTAATGCTGAGGTATCAAGATGTCATCCCATATTTATAAAACATGTTGTATGGGCCAAAGTAAAAATCTCATATGAAGCAGTTTTATTGATAATTCGAATTCAATCATATTGTAAAAATGTTAACGTACGTAAGAATCGTAATAATCAAGAGAGCGTCTCATGGAATTATATTTGCGAATGTATGGACGAATATATCGTAAAATATCATAAAGCATCGTTCCGCGCGCGATATTGCTGGACATGAGATGGACAATGAACCGCAAGGCCAAGCAGGTAAGCGTGTGCTCGATTCATTTTCCTTCAAAATCGCGCTGTACGACTGTAGTAGATCGCGACTGCGACGGCTCTCTCGGGCTTTTACATCCGCATACAAGCAACGCTAGCAAATAAGATCAAACTTCAGCAAACGAAAAGAGCAAACCAACTAAACACACAAATGTATGAGCGGAAAGGATGGCTCGCTGGCGCGAGGTGAATGCTCATGACGATCGGAAAGATGCGTGCTAAAAGAAATGTTGACTCTCTACATCGTGAGAATAACAAATGCTTGAAAATATGTACTGGCGGAACCAAGGGAGTGTCGAGGTAAATTGGACATATGTGTCGGATCGAACGTGTATGGTTGTGTGCGTTTTTATGGGCGAAAGGCAAATTTGAAATTGTCTAAACGTGCCTAGAACGTCTTTTACTTTTATCGAGCGGTCGGTCTTATTTCAATCAAATTTCATCGACAAAAGCTCGTGTTTGTCGCGACGAATGCATAGACTTTGAATAAATATTCCACGATCGGCCGCGCATGCATGGATCTTGCAAATAAACGATCGAAAGAAGAGAAAAAGCTGAAAATTCAACGAGCAACCACGATAACCCTTTATCACCAAATGCGATATATACCGATACAAAATATCGTATACTTATTTCATTTTACGCTAATTTCCAACATTTTTGCTACGGATTGTTAGAATCTACTTTTAAAGTTGCTTAGGGATTAGAAAACTAAAAAAATATATTAATTTCCATTATATACTTTAGTCTAAATTTAATATTTATGGAATTAGCATTCTTTCTTGAAAGAGAGAAATAAAGATAAGAATCTCTAAATGCTGAACTTCATGATAGCAGACTAACTTAATGAATAGTCCGTTTATATTAACTCTACGTCCAGGCAAAAAAATCTTAGCATATTAAAACTGTTGTTATACATTCCGAAAGCTAAAAGAACTCTCACGTAATAAATATTCGCGGGCATAAGCATTTTTACTAATACTCACCCCTGGGAGATTTAACTACGGGTATGTGCGCATGCTAAAATCCAAGTGAAAACGTTAAAACTAAGGTGTACTCTATTGGTGTAAGCTAGGATACATGAAAGTGGATTGAAAAGGCAGAGGCTGCAGCTCACCACATCCAAAAGAGAAGCATCGAAGCAAATGATAATAAAAGAAGCATAACTTACGAGAAAAACCCGGTGGCACGCGAGAAGGGGCCATTTTCTTTCTTTATTGGACCGCCGGGGACGGGCTCGAACGCACGCTCGCCTGCCCTCCAGGTCAGACTGATTTCGGTATGGTGGACGGTCGGGCGGGCAATTGATGGTTTTAATATAAGAATCTCGGTCGATTCGCTCACTCGAGTCTCTGCATGTATTGTTAGAGATGTGTTTTTCAGGAACATTGGTTTACTAGGCAAAGAGTGGCACGTTCTCAGCGAAAACAGAAAAGTTCCGTCTTTGTATGATCATACATTGGCGGTACCGTGTCTCGAAGTCCGTGGTAGAGATAGGAGAATAGAAAAAGGATGTAATGAAAAAAGATGCCGTGGGAAAAACGGGGGGAAAAATGACAATGTTGCATACATCTGTCTGTATCATCGCAAGAAATCGGACCAGATATAAACGTAAACATATGTATTTTCTTAGTATCACCGGTTGATATAGTCACGTTTATTGTAATTACGGTTATTGTACGCGATGTGATGTAACAGTATGACAGTAACAGTGATCGTCATAATGACGAGAAATATAAAAGTAAGACAAACAGACAGTGTAGAGAAATTTATTGTCAAGTAGAAATGATGGTAGAATAGAAAGTAGATAGTCAATGAGAGCGACGCCATTTAATCTGTCTAGCCAAATTTTGATAAGCTTAAAATAAATCCAGACCGAGATGGGACTGTATCAGAAAGAAATAACGGTTTCTGGATCTTACTATAAAAGCAAGACAATAGTTTTCCAAAGGATACGCTGTTAGAGACCGTGATTGTGTCTAAGAGGGGAGGGGAGAGAAAGAGCAACTGTGGTCTGTCGTTCATAGGAAGAGAAGGCTTGCCGAGAGCTTTCTACTATACCGGGCCGTTGGACAACGGTGACTTCAGCCAGCTGCTCCAAAAGAATTGCTTTACAGGTCGTACCTTGCCGTTTTCGGACGCATCGACAGACGTCGCCGCGCGCGCCAGGCTGTGGGAACGGCGCGCGGGAGCGGGCGGTCGTCGGGGAGGGGTATTTGTCGTAGGTGAGGATGTGCTGAGGTTGTTGTTAGATTCCAACGAGTCACGGGCACGGGATAGCGAGGAGGATTTATTTAGGGAATCTCGGCTGGAATTGTTACGAGGCAGGGATCGGTTATTCAGGGATGACTCCCGATTTGCTTCCTTATTGCCGCCGCCGCCGCCGCCGCCGCTGCCGCCGCTACCATTACTGCTGCTGCTTCCGTTGCCGCCGTTCTTGGACAGACTCCTATTGCCGAGTGAATCCCGGCTAGAGTCGCGTGCTTTCGATAACGATTTGCCGCCGCCGTGGCTGTCACGACTAGAATCACGCGGTGGTCTCGTCAGCGATTTGAGCGATTCCCTGCTGTCGTTCCTGCCGTGACTAGATCGCGGTGGCGCGATCGTAGTCGCGCTTGTCGTAGGCGTCGTCGACGACGTCTTGCCACTCGCGCTGCCAGGTAAAGGTATACGACTAGGACGCCGCCGTGGCGACGGTTTGATCTCTACCGGCTGATGATGATCTCGCGCGGACTCCGTACTGCTACCAGGCTCGACGCCGCTCTGCTCGCATCTGGGTTGTTCCAGATCCGCTTCTGGTTCGACTTCCGTCGGTGGTCGTTGCTGAAGGCGTTCTAACACGCGCACTCGCGCCCGCGTGCCTTCTAATTCGATGTTTCGTTCTTCCAACTAAAAATATATATTAATAATATATTATAAATAATTATAAATATATTATAATACTGGATAGAAATATTTCTGAAAAAGAATGCAACATATTTGAAGATTTGTAATAACTTTTTCTAGTGTCATTATATAGCAATTTAATTGCAACTCACCTGAAACCGTAAATCGTCGTTTTCCTCGCGCGCTTTGTCTAATCGTTCAGAGAGAGTTTCCGTGCTCTTCTCCACTTCATCTAATCTTTTTTGTAGGACCTGCAAACGATAGATTAATCATAAATTAATTGCAAAGACAAAATTTATCCTTTTAAATTTTACAATTAAATATAGTAAAACAGGAAAAATTGATCTTCTTACTTGATTATGGACGGTAGTAGTGATTAGATGTCGCTGAAGTTCGAGGGGCGAGTGCTCACGAAGAATGGCCGCGATTTTTCTTGAATCTACATCCTTCACATTAGCCACCCTGGTGGGCGATATTAAGATGGAATCGAGCGCTCCCAACCTGGCTCGCCTCTCATTCACATTAGCTTCAATATCGATCTCGATATTGCGCGGCTCGTCGTTGCACCCGACAACGTCCAATAGCACGTTCTTCTCGATAGTTCTCGTACGGAAGCGACTCTTATAAGCCTTGCTTCCAGGACTACCAGTGACTGACGCAAACGCCGAGCTTTTGCTCTTGATATTAACGTTTGCATTCTTCGGCGAAGAAATCACCGGCGCGATCGGTTGTAGTCTCTGAACACCCGGCACTAAGATTTCCGAAGCATTTTCCGTTAGTCCGGCCCGCAGCCGATCCTCCAATCCAGTTTTCAGTGCTGACAAGGCGGCTACCTCCGTTTGCAGTTCCTGAGCTCTGACCCGACTTGATATCGTCTCCGCTTCGAGTTCGGCCACCTTGTCGAGCAGTTGTTCTTTCTCCCGTCTGAGTGCTATCACTTGCGGGTCTCTGCTATCTTGTTGCTGTTGCTCGTTGACAATGTTATTCCTACCGTGACCGATCGTTCTATCGGCGTCGTCGAGTCCAGTTATATTTCTCACGGCTTCAAGCACATCCGTCGACGCCAACTCCTCCGTCGTCACACTTTCCAGGCGACCTTGAAGGCACTCGACTTCCTCCCGCAGCCGAATCCCCTTGCGATGGATTACATCTAATAGATTCCAGAGTTCGTCCTCCGCCTCGTCCAACGGACTTGGCCGGGGACTACTCGCTCGCGGTGCGATTGCCGTCGAGGCACTGTCTTTCGACGAGGTCTCCGTGCTGAAGCCGGAATCTTGAACCGTCGCGCTACAGTTGTTCTTGGTGCCGCCGCTGTGCGAGTTGCTGCGACTCCTAGGCAACAACGAGGATGAGGATTCGCCTCCTCCACCGCCGCCACTGCCGCTACCGTTGCTGCCAGCCTCGCGCGTCACTCGCCGTCTTATCTTGCCTGGTTCCCATTCGCCGATCCTTCGCGAGGACGGGCTTGACAGCGGTAAAGGAATGTGCGAGCTCTGGGTGCACGTGGACGACATCACGGACGCACCCGCGGACGCCGTCGCGGCCATCTTGTGCCGGAGGTTTGGGAACGTCTCGATGACGAGGTCCCGGAACTCGAGCAAGGCACCGACCTCATTCTGCAGTTCCTGCAGGGCCACCAAAGACTTGGCTTGCTCGTTGATCAAGTAATGGAACGGACCGGGACGAAGGGGCATGCAATCCATGCCACCGACGCCGCTATTGCTGCCGACGCCGTTACCGGCACCGACGCTCACCACGACACCCTCCGTCGAACCGCCACCGCCACTGCTGCCGCTGCCGCACTGCTGTAACAATAGAAAAGAGATCTGCTTAGTAAACTGCTCGTATAATTTAAAATAGAGGTGAGCAAATCATAGATTAAAACGCATTTTAAACAATTTATAATTTGCGACAATATTCAATTTATAATCAAAATATAAAATATTTAAAGATATAATACTAGAAGAAATATTAAGACATATATGTAAGATACATCAGAACACAACACATAAAATTATAAAGAGAATTGTCGCAAATTATAGCTCTACATAATAATTCATTAATTATTTTGATAAACAAAGAATAATCGAAAATGAATTATCATTGTAACAATATTAGCAAATTTTGCATTTCTTGCCTTTAATATTAATTTATAAACTCGAATATAAAGAAATCAAATTTATTTTTCTTAAAAGAAAGTTTATATATAAAAAAGTCGTATTTTTAATTTAACAAGTAGTCCCGATAATAATGTAAAACTTATTTTATAAAATTATGAAACTTATAATATATTAAACACTATAATATATTAACTAAAAAATATGTTAATGATGCTATATAAAAAAGTTTTTAAATCATTTTTAAGTTTATTAATAATTCATTTTAAAAAGTACCAAGTTTACGCGTTTAAATAGACAACGAAATAACATTTGCTTACTACCCGATCATTTTCTGATATTACAAACCTAGTTTTATAAAACGGCCCGAGTGCGTGACGGTGAAACCGTCCACTTTCCTGCGCGAAGATAAGACACGCGTTAATTCTACATAAGTGAGGCGCGTTATCCACAACGGACGTGCTAGTGATCCGCCAAGTCTAGCACATCTCCTTCAGCGTATCGTCAATCTTGCTGTCGCATCGGTCGTTCCTTTCGAAGGAACACACCCGCGCATAAACGAACCGTGACACAAGAAATCACGCCGATAATCGACCTAATTTATCGTATTCGAAACTGCAATTTCTGTCTCGCTCCCGCGAGAGAGATCAAGCGCGTTCTACCATTATTCCACGGACATGTCCCATGTCCGATATCTCACGCTCGTGATAGATGAGTGTTGTCACAATATTTTCAATGCATCACAAAACTTTCGCGCGATATACATATTTTTCAAAACCGATGTCGCTTAGAACATATTGCATTAAATCGTTTTCACACAAATCAATCGAACAACTTCTCATTAAAATTAATGTCGAAAGTTCTGCGATGCGTTGCATTATATCTTTTGATTCTCAGTACCTATTAATCCGATATACTTCGTTATGCATGCGATAATTATCGGAATAATACACTTGAAGCCACGAGAACTTGTATTGATCAAATTTACGTCTTGAATCGTGTACAGTTTTATCATCGTGTGCATCTAAGCGAGCATATATAATTGGTACCTTTATTTTTCTTTAAAATAGCATTTTATAATTAAGATTCGGATTATTCCAGATTTCTAGAACATGAAGATTTAGGAAATTCGCGCGTTATAGAAATTATTGCGTATGGATAAAGAGATAATTGAATATGTGACGTCTTATAAGTTAGCGGAACAGAATAAGCAGAATCAATTCTAATTAATATTTTTATTTGTTGCTCATTTTATATAGCAACTACTGCTCTTGATGTAACTAGAATAAAGCAACGAGAATCAAGTTATTGAGGTCTAATATCCGCTCGTTTCTCTCGCAATGCAAAGAGGCTGTTTCCGCGATCTGATTGCACCGAAAATGTACTTATGAGATAGGCGCGAGTGAGATAATTACATTGATTACGCCGAGATGCGGATCTCTATTTTCACTGGAGCATCAAGGATAATGGAAATTTATACGGCGGGAGCAACCGATCGCCATTAATTATAAACGGACCCGGTAATTGCATCGGTCATGAAGAACTTTGCTTAATGATTCGAATTTAGGCCGATGTATCTAACGACGTGGCGTAATATTCTTCCTCTCGATTCCTATACTTTCACCGGTTGTATCTTTAACGATAGAGAATACGTTACGTTAATGATCGGTAATTGTATTAGATCGAGTCGCACGCCTGTCAGCCGGCTGCATTTTTTTTTTTTTTTTTTTTTTTTTTTTTAGTATGCCAGTTGCAAATTCGATTTCGAGCCGTTTCCCCTGACTGATCGCGCGTTTTCTCTTGTAAAAAGAATAGGCGCGATCGAAAACAAGATGCAAAAATAAATTCTGAGATAGATGTACAGCCGCATAGATAATCTGTCCGTAATTGAATAATCGCGTCATCCGGAAAAAAAACTGAGTGTTCTTATCATTTTTTCTGTTTGCGGATCGATCTGCGATAAGAGAAATTCGTGCGACATACATTGCTACACGCATTTATATCTTGTACATATTATAAATATATTCACCGAAAAGATAAGATTTGTATAAATAGCCTATCAATAAATATCACCGTTGACTAAAAAGAAACGTCACTGTTTAATATAATATATAAAGTGATATCTAACGTTTATATGATGTATAAATATCTGGTATATAGAACGCGAATAGATAAAGATACTTGTAAGATATATATTAAAATATTTGAAAAATATATATATATTAAAATTTATTATACGCAATCACTGTCAAGTATCGAGATGCATTGTCAAATTTAGAATTCTGTATGCATTGTGTCTCCCGCAGAGCTGCGTCCATTGTGAAAGAAAGTGGAAACCCCCCATATGGTAGACGTACACTTCACGCCCGTTATTTTATCGTCGTGTAATTCGCGCCGCACGACGTCGAAGACGCCGGCGCCGGCTATGCGTGATACGCGTTACCGTCGTCTTTAATGCAGCGTGCGTAGCGCGACTAGTGAAGCGGCAAAGCAGCAGGAAAGTGCGAGAGAAAACGGGGCTTTTGTGTCAAAGTCTCTCTCGCAATCTATCGAACGATGAACGTCGAAGGTGAAGAGCAAACATGATCCTTAAATTTTATACATATTTCAAGCAATTTATAAATTGAGAATTTGTGATAAATTGAGTCCATTTTTAGTTGATGATTTGTGTGAAAAAAATCGGAAGGTAATTAATATAAATTTAATGAAAAAATTATGAAAAAATTATTTCTCTTACAATCCGATTTAGTTTGTTGCAAGGACTTATTTATATTTTTTTTAATTGTATCACACGCACGCACGTTTTTTATATTACGAATTATAAAATATAAGAAATAATTATATCTCAAGTAATGCAAATAAAAAAAATGTCATAAAGACATTTAAACATCTTAGTTCTTTTAAACGTCACTTGAGCATTATTTCTAGGTTGCTCACTTAGGTAGTTATACAAAATTGTCATAATGGTAATCATGACTACCCATTAATGTTTGAGCAAAGAAATTTTTCTACTCACTACTTACACAACACTTCTTTATCTGTATGGTCACCTCCGTGCAGTATTTAAACAGCGCGATGTTGCAACGTGTCACTGGAAGCATAATGGGCCCCAAGCAAGGAAACGGATCTCATCTTTATCCATGAACGAATGAATCATACCGAACTCCGGACAGACAGTATCGTGCCTCGAAACAACATTGGGATCGTCTACCTCCAATATACTTCCGAACGAATTCACCTTCGGAAATTCATTCGAGAGACCGGAAGATGTCGGGGAACAAATGATGTTGTTATACGCGCTTTAAAGCATTCTTAAGTATGTTCATTCGATCGAGAATTCGTCACACATCTTCGAATCATGACATAGCGACCATATTCAAACAAGTTCGACCGCTTATTTATTCGACACAAATAGAGGACTTCACGTGAATTACCTTCGAGTACCTTTCATCACCATAAGAAGATTGATATATAGTCCGTAAATCACTCCACAATAATATAAACAGAACCTCTGATTTTTAATGACTTATAAATAAAGAATTAATTGAGATATCTTAATTATGATGCACAAATGGCAATTCAATTAATTCAACTTTTAGTATCTGTAGCTCAAAACTTTAGATATACTGTATGCAGAATGATTGGCGATTAAGATAACAGTTATTAAAGCGAATTCATTATTTAAATTAAGGAAGGATCACATTTGTATAAAAAAAAATAATTTTATAAAGCAAAATAACAGTTTCTAAGTTATAAATTCAAATTAATTATAAGTTAAATTAGTTATAAATTAAAAATTTGGGATATACATATGAATTGAGTGTCACAAAAATCACAAGTATCAAAATTAAAAATAATAAATTTTTAATCTTTATTTAATTTAAAATATTATGTATTATAGTGGTTTTTAATAGAATTCCAATTGTAGTTTATTATACGAAAGATTTGTAATGAATCAGGATTTCTTCTTTTGTATAGTTTCCTAATCAAGACGTAATAAAAAAAAATTGTCTTTAACATTCCATGCAATAATTGCAAATCACTCTACATTCAGTGTCTTCGATAACGGGCTAGCGATCTTTTGATTTGAAAGATCAATTCTCTCCTTTCGGATTGAAGGCTGTTCGCGGCACGGCCTCCACATTTTCCGTTCACCCACACAAGTTTTTGCCATTGTTTCCCCGTAAACGCACCGCTCCTTTTAAACTCTTCTCGTTAGACACAACTGCTCTACGGTATAGGACGAGAGCGGATTCTTATGCGAGGTCGCGCAGCGCACAATGCAATGGACCAAGGTTTAAAAAAGCAACGCGATCTCCCTGACGACTATTTTTGCTTCTATAAAACACCACGCCGATCGAAATATCGAATCGATTCGCTGGAATTTACGAGCGATTCATAGAAGACAAGCGTGCACCGCCAGACGATCTCTTGATAAGGCAAGTATCATCATTGTCCAAGGATTTGTTCCGTTCACGGTTTTGATCGAGAGATTTATATACGTTGCCTCGTTTAAAAAAAGGGCGCTGATAATTTTCAGCTTGTAACTCTAATTTTCCAAAAAAATTTTTAAAGATTTAAAAATCTCACGAGTAAAAAAATTAAAAAATAAAAAACTATAGAATACAAAAGTAAGTGTTGATTTGTAATATAAACCGTGATATCTGTGATATAAATTTAAATACAAA